CATTCCTGGAAGTACTCTTGACTCATTTCCTTTCTTAATTTGGACTGGTGACTTTTCGGTCTATGTGTGTACAATTGTTAGACCAACACTGAATTTAAACTGCTTCTGTGGCCAGTGTTTTCTTTGTGCATACGTTTCTGTTTGTGTGTGACTGAAGGTGGATGCTTGGCTGTACAGCGCGCCCTCGCTTGTGGGCAGAAAACTCTCATATTTTCTTGTTTACAGAGAAAGGATGGCTCAGAGTTTGTCTTGAAGAGCTGCTACCCATTGGTATGTGAAGGCTTGTATAATTGAATTAGTCCAGGCCTTATGGCTCAGTGTTGCAGGCATGCTGAGTTTCGGCGCATCACTGCTTGCTCGTTATTAAAGAAAGGAGGTCAAGAAGAAACTCGTGTGGAAGTTTGTATATTTTTTTAGAGCTATGGATGCAGTCGTTGAACAAAAGGCCTACAGTCGGACACTGCAGAGATTTGTTTGTCTTACTAACGTTTCTCCCAAATTGAACAAACTTCCCTTCAGAGCCGTAAGGTGCGGGTATGTGTGAATGAGAGTTGAATTCAGATGGCTGCTTTGGTTACAGCAGATCACCGACGATTTTTGTTGTGATGAAATTGCGTATAACGTTCGGCAGCTGTTGAACGCACTCATCAATCTCAGCTGCCACTATGGGAGCTGTTGGTTTGAGCAAAACAGACATATTTTGTTTAAAGTACAATGTCTACAGAACAGACATAAAGGACCTTCGCTAGGACACAAATCCTCCGTCTGCCTGTCACAGTCACAATACACCATTGTGTTTTCCTTCACCACTAGTGTTTAGTGGTGAAGGAAAACAGATAATATAGCCCAGCCCAGTGATTCCAAACCACTGTGCCATAACACGGAGTGTGTCGTGAGAGGATCAGGTGAGCCATGGGAAATTCACTCCTCACAATTATTTGTTTACTGCAAATAATGTGTCATTGTTAGGTGCTAGGTGAAAGCAGGCTGATGAGTCAGTCTTCCCTTATTTCCTGCAGGTATATTAGGGTTGTGTTCAACTAAACAGGCCCATGCTTCACAATGAGTAAATTGAAACTAGAAGTTCATGGTATTTCCTAAACAGGCCCATGCTTCACAATGAGTTTTGAAACTGAAGTTCATCATATTTCATTACATATATATATACAGTATGTATTGTTTGGTGGTGCATCCTGGGATTTTCTTAATGAAAAATGTACGCTGAGGCTCAAAAAGGTTTGGCCTACACTGCCCTGACCTAACTATCTTATTACCTATCACTGCTTTTAACATTTCCTGGTCTTAAAGGCCCATCTTTGGTGCTGATTCTGTCAGTGGATCTGCATCTGCAAGCAATTGCTATAGCATGAAATTAATTTGTTTAAAAAAAAAAAAAATCTGCAACATAGCCTAGCAGCAAATCACAAAACATGATTAACACTCATTTTTGACTTGCCCAAAAGCAGCCGCAGCAATACGTTCACTTGTAGCGGCCCACAATCGTTTGGCAGACTGAGGTTTGAAAGCGTGGAGCTGGAGAAGATGTCGGCATGCGTAATGAGGATTAAATCATAGATGGGTTGGGAGCATTTCAGAGCAGCATTTCCGAGACACCGCTGTGGTTTGGGTTTTAGTGCAGACACTCGCTCTGAGGAGAGCGAGCGTTTAAGGCCCCACAGTAGAGCAGTCAAAGGCTTGTGTAAGACTTAGTGCATAATTTAGCACGAACAGGTTGCCTTTTTGTTGCCCTCTCTGCGGGGTGAAGAAAATGTCTAAGATTGTTATCAAGTGGGATCTCAATCTTATGGTACCACCGTGTGTCCGCTAGGACTTTCTTTAAGCAGTGGCCGTGGGTCCTCCCAGAGACCTGTCTCTACCTGTCTGCTACTGTCACCTGACTGAAGTTAGTGAGGGTTCATTTATATTTAGAGAATTCACACTCACACACACACAGGCAGTGACACAGACAGCCAATTAATAGCGGTTCTTCCAGATGGCCACAAGGAAAATAGGTCTCGGAAGCGTTACTTAAACATTTTTTTCTAATTTTTTGGGGTTGTAGAGTGAGCAATGTGGGTGCTATTTTTGAAAAAAATTAAGAAAAAAGAGATTAAATATACTCACAACTATTTAGGTCAATTTGGACCACTTTAACTGAAAATGGCAACACTTTTTTCTGTTGAAGTCGGTTTTGTTTTGGAAAAAGCGTGACACTTCTATTCTCTCAGGCCTGTGCAGTAAAGGTTAACATGGTTACTGAATAGAATGTGTGGAATTCACTTCGTACAAAGATGGTTTTCTCCGAAATAGTAAGAGTCACTCTATAGTTGGATAAAGTGTGGAAATAAAATATTGTAGTGAGGGAACTTTTCGACAGGCTGACGAAGCCAGTTTTTGTTAATGCTTTTGATTGCATGGGTTGACTTGATTCACAAGTAGGAGTCTCTCTTTTTTTTTTCTACTGATGTGGAGACTTCAACTGAGAGAATTTGAAAAGCGTTAGGTGGAAACATCATAAAGGAATTGATAGTTTATTTTAAAGCTGTAGTTTTAGGGTCAAAACATTGCAAATAGTTTTTCTGCATCACATTTCCAATGATCCTATCCCTGATATTTTGTACTTCCAATAAAGTTGTCAATACTTTACTTTAAATGTTTAGCTTTGCCAATAAAAAGCAAGTATTTTTAGATGACCTGGAAGGCGGAAACAAAGAGGAAAACATGTAAATTGACACAGAAAGATGAATTTCAAACAGAAGTCGACACACAAAAGGTTGTTGGTCTGATGTAAAGAGCCTTAAATTACTGTGGTAACTGACTTTACTGTTTAACTGTTTAACTGTTTAATTACTGCTAGCTGCTGGAGCAGAGTTTGGAGAAATAAAAACCATAATTTGCTATTCAGAAGATGTTCAAATAAAAGCTGCTGTTTACAGTCCTTTGGCTCTCCCACGACAAGCAGACAAACTGTTTTGTCTTTCTTCTGTTTTTTATTACTTGTCTTTCAGCCACTCCTCCTCCACTCTGTCTGTTTTCAGTCTAGTTTCAAGGCAAATGTAGCTGAGGAGCCATTTTGACTTCAACACGCTTTGACTGTGTTTAACAGAACTGTATCTAACAAAGTCTCTCTCTCTGTCTCTCTCTGTAATTCTAGATACAAATGACAGTTGTTTTTACAATCAAAATAAGCTAAACGTTTTATTGACTTTATTATTTATTAGGTGAGTATTTTTTTTATCTAGAAAATATTATTTTCTCTTGAGGATAAAGAATCTAACACACTTATGTGTACTGGGAACAAAGAAAAAACAACATTTATGACAGCAGACTGCAGTTTACAACCTTATCATTATTATTATTATTATCGCTTGTTGTAAATGTAGTGGTAAAAGCTGCTGTGCAAATATTTAAAAGTACATTTTCTTGATATAACGTTTTTTGGAGTTTTATCTGGATTTTGTTTTGGACGATTTCATACCAACTCGTACAACTCATATCATACATATCTTTACATAATTGCATGTTTGTATTACGTTACAAATATTTTAGAATGCATTTGTTTTTAACGCTTTAAGCTGTTCTTTTGACAACTTTCAACTCCGAGGTTTTGCTCTTCCTTGTGCATTCTTTGTGTCGTAACTCTGTTTTTTACAACAAGGAGTGACGGTAAAAAGGGAACCCGGTAAAAGAGCAGATATCCAAATATATCTGCTCAGTACTTGACACTGTGCCTGAATATGAGTGGCAGTTCAATTTTAATCACCCCTCATCAGCAGTGATCATCTACGTAAACAGTGCACAGGGATGTGACAATTAATCATGAGTCCCTCGTCTTTAATTAGCCCGATGATCGGAGACGCGGAAGGGAATATTCCGATTGCTGAGCTGCTATAAAGTCGGCATGTTGATGACACATCATAGTTAAAGACTCTCAACTATTCCGGGAGCTAATAGGCAGCATCTTGTTAGCAGTCCCCTTGTGGCTAGTTGAGCTGTAGGCTAAAATGTAGGTCAAGGGAAAAGAACTGGACGAAGAGCACACATGTGCTTCCAGTGTACTTATTTACCTGTGTTTTGCCTATAGATACGTGAGCACATGCATTAATCTGAACCCTTGTCTTGTCTAGCACCTGATTGGTGGAAGAAATATCTCATTTACACTAGCGTGGTGTTAGCGTTTCTTGTGAAATGAGTAGCTTCAAAAACCTGTCCAGTCTTTGGTCCAGTATCCAAGCCTTGTTAGGTGAGGTGACGTTTTAATCAGTGTAATGAGCTGCATTGCACTTACTGAGGAAGTGATGGTGTAACCGGATGCAGTGGTAATGGAAAATAATTTCCTAGGACATTATTCAGAACAGCAAAACAGTTTGAAGAATTCTGATCCATGATTTCTTCTCTGTCTTCATGATTAACTCTAAGTATATCAACGCAGGCTCTTCAGATCATGATGATTTACTTTTTCTTTCTTTATTCTGTGATTGTGAGTGTGGTTTACACGTATACTTATTATGTGACACATATAATAGTTGCAGGGTTGGAGTCAGTTTTTTTTTTGTTTTTTAACAAACCAATACAAGTATTATTTTTTTTCATTTGTGTACTTCCCAAATACTAGATGCATACTTCCAATGCATTTGTGTGTCCTCACTGGGTGTGAAAGCTCATCCACCACAGCGAGGACACCATGGATGGAAATGCTTACAACCAGTTAGATTTTCTTTTTATTAACAGAAAACTATTACGATCCAAAAAGAAACAAATAAAAGTCTTTAAACTGACACTGTCGTCCCATCGGTCAATAAATCAATAAAACTAAAGATAAACAAATAAAAATAAATTATATTGAATTAATTTCTGCATTGTGAACACAGCCCGTCAAACAGAAATTAAGCAGAGCTAGTATTACACAAGTTGAATTGAAAATACTGTTTCCTGTTTTTCAAGAAAAAAATACGGAATAGAATAGCACTGATGCCACCCTTGTTCGACTTGGCAAACAGAGTGAGAAGTGAAAAAGTGGAAGAAGCAGCAAGTCACAAAACATGAGCGGTGACGTGAAAGATTAAATTTCAATGTAAAGGCACAGTGGAAAGAATTCAGCTTTGGACGTGTTGCCGTGCAGATGCTGTCGGATTAACACAGAGGGAGAAATGGTACGAGACGTAGAGATAAGGGAACTGCATATTTCCTAGTTTGACTTGATGGCAACGTTTTAAAGGTATACGCTATGATTTTTAAAGGATTTCTTATGGCACGCCTATAGAGCACTGCATTTCACAGTTAATATTATTGAAGACATGCATGTTCGACTTCAGACAATGGCCAGGAGGTCAATATGAGCCTGTCTAACAAATCTCACATGAGTGTACTTTGTATGTTACGCTATGACAAAATAGAAATGAGGCCATATATATATTTGTCTCCAAACCAGTTTTTGACAGAGATGATTCATTTTGTGATTTGCGGGTCATACTACAGTATGTCGTGTACAGTAAAATACAGTATAATGCTATATACAGTTACATGGACGTTGGTTCAAAAATACAGTATAATGCTATATACAGTTGTTTCGAATGAGTTGCAGAAAAAGAAATGATTGGAACAAAGAGTCAGATCTTTATCATTTCATTTACTTCAATCAGATTCCATCAATTAAAAGAAAATTGATGGAAGGGGAAAATGTGGAATTGAATTGCAGCAATTTATTAGTGTTAGTCAGCCAGCCTACGTTTATTTCCTTTTTGGATTAGTACCTCTTTAAAGGCAAAAACATCGGTCTCCCTTTGATTGATTTAAGAAAGACCCATTGCCATTGATGTTTTTGCACAGACATGCTTTTGAGTAGTGCTGAAGATCTGTTCAGTTGTATGTTATAATTTGAACACGCACACAGGCGATGAAAATAAAGAAGCTTTGTGTTAGTCCATCTTTTGGGACAAGTTAACCTCCATCCTGAGATGTTGTGTGAGCTGTTTGCGTTTACATTCCACTTCCATGTTTAACTGAAAATGTGTATTTAGTCAAACCGTTTGCAGTGCAGCAGTCTGAGGGGTTATGGAAAAGGGTAGAATGAGAAAAATTGTGAAAATCATGCATTTTCACTGGCACATAATGCTTCTGTGTGAGCCAGAAAAAGCAGCCAGACTCAGCATTTTGGAGCATAAATAAACAATGCAGTTGATTAAATAGGTTTGAGAATTTATGCGTGCTTGCTAAACTGCTGCAATGCATATCATTCCATTTCCGTATGCTCAACTGAAACTCTGGGTGAGCACCCGTTTTAGGGAAGCTGTGTTTTCCGTCTTTCTGTGCTGTAAATGTAATTGTTGAGCATTAAGGTACAGTGCATTAAGGTTAGTCTTTCAGAGATCAGCTGTTGTTCCAAAGGCCACAAACACAGTCAATATATAATTTGACAAATCAACTGTCAACCTCCCTGCTAATTCCTCCTGATAAAAACCACAACTGTCAACCTCCCTGCTAATTCCTCCACCATTTAGTCTGATAAAAACCATCGTCCTTATTCGCCTCTTCATATTTAACCTTGGTGCTTTGTGTTTGGGCTTTGTGTCTGTTTGGAAAGCTAAGAGTCTGAGCTGCTGTTGTCAGAGGCTTTGCTCTCAAATGCCACTCTAGAGTTTCATTCAATCAGTCCTTCTCCTGTGTCCCAGCGTGCTGTGTATTGATGCAGGCTTGGAGTCTCTTCCCACCAAAATTCGCCACAGCAAATGTAGTCTATGAGCAGAATAAACAGCCATCCAGCTGTGGATTGACAGAAGAGAGAATACTGGTGCACACACACACACACACGTGCACATAAGTGAGCTGCAGGACGGTTATTGATCCGATCATTTTATTGCTGACTCTGGTGTAGTGCACTCAAGGCTTCGAAATGCTGTTACTACACAGGTTACTGTGTTACAAAACGTCTAACATTTCTCTGACTGCTGTAGCCCATGCCCTTGATTTTGGAAATTTCTGCCAATTTGTATTTAGTTGCATTTTGATAAATGTCTTAGTTCACCTTTAAGGAAAAAAAACAACAAAACAAAAACAAGAAAAAAAAAAACAAAACAAAAACAATAACAAAGTTTTCTTGAGTCTTTGCGTAAGCTAAACTTCTTATCTGTTTGCATACATATTTTTTTTTAATTATCTCATGGCAACCCACAATTCGTAATCCTATTGCGATTATGACGTTTTTATTGAACAATAATGACTATGCTTATACATATAATTAAACATTGAAATTAATATATTTCAAATCCATAATTTAACTTAATTGTTGCATGACATGGACATAAATCACCCTTGTTTACAAATAAATTATAGTAAAGAACAGTATAATATGTGAGGGTTTTCTTGTATATAATGTTGTATAAAGTCTGTTTCTTTTCTGTTTCCTTTGTTATTGTCACTGCTCTTTCTTTTTGTCTGTTTTGTGTATGGGTGTGTGAGTATGGGTGTATGCCTGCGCTCTGGCTCTGAGTAGTAACCGACTGCCCTACACACTTGACAGGGTGCCAGATCGTTTCCCACTGTCATGTAGCTAAATTCTTGTTATTGTTTCCATGCTACTACGTTTTTCCTGTTCTCACAGTTTCTGTTTCATCAGTCCCGCTGGTGTTTGTCATAGCCCTGCACTGCCCACACCCAGCCTCACAGCTCTACCTTCACAGGATTTCTTCTTTGCTACCAACAGTTCACTTCCCCCTTCACAGCGTTCACAGCCCCTCATCACTGCCCGGCACAACTTCTGCTTGTGGGTCCTCTCTTGTGTCTTTTTTTAGGAGTAACATATATTTTTGAAAGAATATGTAAAAGATAAAAAAAAAAAAAAAATAGGAAAGTTTTTGTGCAAATCTTAACTCTATCTGCATTGCAACAAACTTGGTGTTAGTTTTGATGAGGCTCTGCCACGGCAGTGTCATTGTTTATTGTTCACTGTTCAGAAAGGAGGCTCTGCCACGGCAGTGTCATTGTTCACTGTTCAGAAAAACAGGAGCCGTCTGTCTCCCCAACTCAGTTTGAAAACAACAAATATGGGAGCGCACATTGGTTGTGTTTCAGAAGTATATATCGTCAACCTCACGTCATCGCTTTTCTTCTTAAAAGCTTAAAGGCTTAAAGCACTTCCGAAACTCTCCTCTCAACTTCTCAATGGGAAAAACACTTGAGAGGGCTAGAAAGAGAGAGGACGTCGCAGTGGGAAGTAATAAAAGGTGGTTCATTACTGAGCTAGTGGACAAAGAGAAAGACCCAGTAACCGACTTAGGGACTGTCTTTTCTTTAATGAGCCCTTGTCTCGACTGGACTGTGATCTTTAGCTCTTCTGACTTTGCTTATTTAGTTTACCTCTTTTTTGCCTTTTCTCCTCGGCACAAATGACCCTGGACCAATGATCCATTACACTCTCTTCGTTTAGACAAAAGCAAACAGCCATGCACTTACACTCACTGACATGAACTTTACCCCGCACACCTAACAGACAGCATCAGTGACTGCGGGTAATGGATCCTCCTCAGGTTTCTCCCTGATCCTGACATCTACACAAGTTGTGACAGGAGAGGAGGGAGGAAGTTTAGGAGACAGAAAGGGAAAGTCAAAGCTGCAGACTTAGAAAGAGAGAGAGAGATAAGAACTTGTAAGTACTCCACTTTCTATTATCCGGCTAATACAGCCATTGTTATCACTTTTGCACTTGCTTGGTTGGGGCGACAGCAGTGTGTTAGTGTATGTTCCACCTCTGCTTCGCTCGCTCTTTCTTATGTTTTGGTTTTTGAGACAAACTATCACATCTGAGTGTGTTTAAATTTAAATGCTTTCTTCCAAATAAAAAAAAATGCTCCATGAAAATGTACAGTTTGAAAAGATACAAATAAATAAAAAAAAACTCAATGTAGTTTCCCTTTATGTCCCCCTTCTCCTTGATGACTTTTTTGCCGCTCTGCTCCATTTCCTTCACCCTGATCCTTCTTAAGGTCTTACTTCTTATGCAGAGACCAGAGGGATCATCTCAGAGCATTACCTATGCAGGCTGGGTAATAGAGCCACTGGATTGATCCCCTTCTTTCTTCCTTGGGGTCTTTGGCCAGAGTCTTGTGTTACAAAGCTGACATCATCTTTAGTATGCCCACATCCCACAGTCGGGCTTCATCTCACTGTCTAATCCTTTTCTTTCAGAGAGAGAAAAAAAATTGCACGTGTAAATGAGCTCCTTTATCAGCCAAAAATCATATAATAATATGAGAGTGAATGTGGAAAAATAGCTAAGGCCAGTTTACTTGTTTGGTCTGTGGAGTTAATAAGATTAACCATTTTGTGAAATTAGTCAGATGAAATGTATTCAACATGACTATGACCCCAGGGTTTTAGTTTGCCCTGTGGCCCTAAAGCTTAAAACAAGCAATAGAAATGTTGATTTATTTTAATTTTTAATTTTATTCCTGATTAATCATGATTATGATTTATCACAATAAATCATTATTATTCTTGATTGACAGTTTTCCCTCAGATAAATGTATAAATCCCCTTACAGCCTGTTTTGATATACAACCAGAATTCCTGTGTCAATATATAGTCATAATATAAGTGTTTTATATTGAAACTGTTGAAAATAAACAGTTGACAAAACTGAAGAAAAGCACATAGACGATACTCATTTATATAGGCGTGTCTACCATCTGCTAAAATGAATTTGCAGCGAGTTGTCGCCTAAATCTCTAAACGACACTGTATTTTGTATAATTAAAGGGGTGTTTGCCTCTAAATTTTTAGCAGTTTTTGGAGCGAGGAAAAAAAGAGAGCACTGTGCTGAGACATACACAGCAGGTAACCTCCCGCGTTACAAACGTGTGAACCTAAAACGAGGATGTTTTTAGCGTGGTGTCTTAAATCATCTCCTCCTGACTGAATACATTAGAACCGTGTTGAAAGCATTTGGTTGACAAAACATCTGCTTTGCTCTCTACGCGCCCCAGCTCTCTGTCATTTGTAATTACGTTTTTGACTTTATGATCAAACGGCTGTTGAATGAATCATTTTTCATTTCATTGTATACTCTAAGAATATCTGGGACTGGCATTAAAGAATAATTAGGAGTTTTAAATTCCCTAATGGGATATTAAAAAAAATAAAAGTGTAAAATCCATGGCAGGTTGAATCAACGCTACAGTTTAACATTAAGGGAGACTATAATCAGCGTAAAGCACTAATAAG